GTCCACTCCAAACGTACTGGGGCCTTGCTCACAGCGAGGCAGCTCTTTGACTTACGCATGAGTAGTCTCAGCAGGGTGAAGCCAGTCCTGCAGAGCAGTGGCTGCTGGCGCTCTGCTCAAGTCAGTGGGGGTCGCTTAAGGGGTTCAGTGGCAGCAGAAGCAAACCTGCAGACTCCCTTACCTGCAGCTTATCGTGCTACCACATTATATTCTCTTGTTTTCTCTCTGATTTTTGCATGAGTTACTTAACACAGGTTAAAGGACACTCTTACACCCTCCCCATGATGACAAAAGGCCTCTGTGTTTGCCACTGGAGACAAATACCAGCTTCAGTAACACAGAATTGGCACTGGCACAGGCAGAGGTTTGTGAGCAATGGAGATCTGGCTTCCAAGTTTTACAGGTCCTGTAACTATGACAAGTGACATTTCCATATTTCTTGTCTCATGTTTGTTTGTGGTTGTGCATGCTGCATGAGTCTTGCAGGCTGTTAACTGACACTGAGCAATCAACCCAGCATAGATTTCTTTCTCTTGAGGAACAGGAGGATTCTGTTACTTGCTACTCATGTGTGGTCACTCTGTTTGAGTAGCTGTATTTTGACCTTTTGATTTGTTATTTGCACAATATTAGGCTGAGATATTACTGTCTTACAGTCTTCAGGGTGCTCTCTCTGACAGTGTGTTAATGCGAGGCTGCAGCGAGAGTTTTCTCCTCCTTTGGCGCTTTGGAAAAGTTGCTGGGTGGGTTACCCATCAATGTCCAAGCCTCGAAAAGAAGCAATCATGCCTGCCCCTCATTTTGTAGGCCACACGTCTCCTCTGAGTCCCAAACGAACAGCTCAAAAGCTGTATCATCTGCTTTTGCTGCTAAACTTGGATCTGGTTGATGAGGAAACAGAAACAGAGTGGGGAAACGGCCAGAGTTTTCCCCAGCACTCCCTGCCTGGGGAGAAGGTGAAGGAGTAGAAAAGCAGGATGTGCCTTCTGCTTTCCCCAAGCACCCATCACATAGGATTTCCTGTTTTGTGATAAAACATTGCCAATGACAATAAAAACACTTGCACACTGGAACGGTGGCTATCCATGGGCTTTGTGCAGAAGCTGAGCATTACCCCTGTTTTATGGAGCAGGAAGGGGGGGGCGCAGAGAGGCAAAGCAACTGCCTTGTGCCACCAAGGGGAAGGAGGGTGACCTTGGGGCAAACACCATCCACTGAGGCTCCAGCCACACACCAGGGAGGCCCAGGGTTGGGAGAGCTGAATGTCATCAAATTAATTAACAAAAATAATGTCTAACCACCTAGAGCCAAAATCTGCTGTGCTTATGTGCTTATAGCCTGACTCTAGCTGAGAATCTGAGGAAAAACTGCCCTCAGGGCCTCAGGTGGAGGGTTGTGCCTCCTTTCCTCAGGGTCACAGAATCACAAAATCACAGCATGGTTTGGGTTTGAAGGGCAGAGCCATCTTTCACTAGATCAGGTTGCTCAGAGCCCCATTCAGGCTGTTCTGAACACTGCCAGGGATGAGGCATCCACAGCTTCTCTGGGCAACCTATTTCAGTGTCTCATCACCCTCACAGTACAGAATGTCCACCTTGTGTCCCATCTAAATCCATGTTTTAGTTTAAAACCATTGTCCCTTGTCCTGTGAATACAGGCCCTGGTAAAAAGTCTTTCTCTAGCTTTTGTGGAAGACCCCTTTATATACTGAAAAGTTGCAACAAGGTATCCCTGGAGCCTTCTCTTCTTCTGGATGAACAACTTCCACTCTTTTAGCCTTTCTTCATAGGAGAAGTGTTCCAACCATCTGATTGTTTTTGTGGCTCTCTTCCAGATGCACTCAAACAGGTCTATGTCTTTCTTGTACTGGGGACCCCAATACTGGCTGCAGTACTCCAAGTAGGGTCTCACAAGAGCAGAGAGGAGCAGAGGGACACAATCACCTCCCTCAGCCTGCTGGCCACACTTCTTTTGAAGCAGCCCAGCGTATGGTTGGCTATCTGAGCTGCAAGCACACGTCGCCAGCTCACATGTCATTTTTTCACC